GGGTGGTCCAGTCACCGACCGAAAGGTCTGGCCGAGGAAACAACACCCGCTCGTCGACTACTTTGGCCCACCTCTCCGACCGGAGCGCTCACTTCGGACTCCAGCCGCTTCCTGATGGCCTCTCCGATCGAAAGGCCTGGCCCAAACACTACTTCCGACTCCGACCCTGCACTCTCCGATCGGGGATACACCCAGCCCCTGCTCACCGCCCTTCTCCGACTGGCACGATCAGAGCCAACTGGGATCAACCGACCGGGGACGCCTGCTCGGTAGGGACCAGGAGACGTGCGGAGAAAAGCGAGGCAAGCTCACAAGTCAAACCACGGTACCAGGAACCATACCCTGCACGGAATAGTACTCCACAACCGCCCTGAGACAAACAATATTGTAGGAGCCGACATTTCCCTCTACAGTATTTTGGGCACCATTAACTCGGCACCATTAACTCCCATACGGTAAGCCCCCCCCCCCCGCATGCCTCTAGGCAGCACCAGTGTTGTCGGCACCAAGATTTACCATACCGAGTGCACATGGTGAGACTCCTACATGCCTCTGGGCATCAACAGTGTAGGCAGGTATCAACATCTGCCATACCCAGACAAAGACGACAGAACCTCCCATGTGCATCTGGCATCCAACAGTGTTGTGGACGCCTACCATCATCCTATGCTCGTCGACGTGGGCAACAAGGCTAGTATTATTCGTACTCTCTCCCTCTCACTTGTAAAGCCATCCCCTTCATCTATAAAAGGGGATGTGCCCCCTCCAAAAAAGGGGACCTTTTTAGTTAATCAACATCGATCAAGTTCACTAGCTCGCAACCACAGAACCGTCGGGTTCGGACCTCAAGCATGCGCTTGAACACTTACCTCATAGCGTAGCTCCTGTCACTCTCGGCCCTTCCGATCAGAGCCGACCAGACCTCTTGTACACCTCATCTTTCTCCTTCTTGTTTATAACCCCACTGCAAACTTCGAGCACCTGGGCTCAGGAATAAAGTCACCGACCGACTCAAACTGGACGTAGGGCACGTTGCCTGAACCAGTATAAACCCTGTGTCCTTGAATGCTAGGTCACCTCCGATCACAACTTACGGCAATACTATAAATATTTACTAGTTAGTCACTTTCTATACCGACACCATCCTAAGGGGGGCCACTAATGGTGTATGAATCAAATTAACTATGAACTAATGTATTTTTGTAAAAAAAATATAATATAAATCTAGGGGCGCTCATGATGATTTTTTTATTATTAATACTTTTGTAAACTAATTTTAAATCTAATACTATTTTTTTTCCTTTAAAACTAATACTTTTAGGCTGCGCCGATTGTCATGGCGCGGTGAAATGGCGCGGTGGAAGGATGATGTGGCGAAGACCAGGACGCTGACCGATGATGTGGTAGGGTCTGTCACGTCACCGATCTTGACGTGGCAGTGACGCGCCCTAATCGATGGCGAGACCATGCAGTGCTACCAGCCAGTTCTCCGCTGCTCAAGCCAGTCTACTGTAACCTCCTCGTCCCGTCTTGTCCGTCCTCGCTTTACCAGCTGAGCGCCCGCACCGCACCGGGTCTCTCTACGGAGTAGCTTTGGGTTTTGTTTGCTTGTTGCGATCAAAAAGCTGCCGCGCGCCCATCATCTCGCCACCTGCTCCTCCCTACTCCCTCTGCGTGAATCTGCCTTCCAACACTGACGGACAGAGATTGATAGAACATGAGCTTTTGCCCCGCTCGGCTCGGGCCCTCCCCTGCCTTTTTCGTTTTTTCCCCATGCAGACAACTGACCTAGCACATCATATGCATAGAGTATTAAATATAGACTAAAAAATAATTAATTATATAGTTTATAACTAATTTGTGAGACGAATCTTTTAAACATAATCAGTCTATGATTTGAGAATATGGTGCTACAGCTACGACGGACGAGCACTACTAAACTGTTTAGTAGAACGAGCCTTTTAAAGCCATTTTTTCATTGAAAAAAGATGAGCTTGAGCTATTTTGGAGGAGCTATAAATTGTGGCTCATCAAAAACAGCTTTGGCAAAATGAGTGTGGGACTTATAAGGCCCTGTTTTATCCTAGGACTTATATAAATTCATATGTTAAACAAAAATCCTAGCTTATGACAACCTATAGATGCCCAAAATGAGTTTTTTTTTTGTTTTGGCATCCACAACTAACAATTGAGAGCATTGATATTTATGGCTACCTACAACCAACTACAAGCCACCGTAGCTTATACAAGTATACCGAATTAAATGCACAAACGGTCTCTAAACTTATCAGAAGGATGTCACCTAGGTCCATGACTTCTTAAAAATATATTTTTAGATCACTAAACTTGTTAAGTAGTGTAGCGAGTCCATATCAGCCACATGGGTATTTTATCCAAAGTCACATTGCCATTGTCACGTTGACTATATCTAGCCCTCACCCATCTTGCCTTCTTTCCTCCTCATCTCTCTCTCTCTCTTTGGCAATGTCACGTCGAATAAAATATTCATCTAACTGTTATGAATCTACGATTGCACCACTTAACATGTTTAGTAACTTAGAAATATATGTTCAAAGTTCGTAGATTTAAATGATATCCCTCGACAAATTTAGAGACTGCTCATGCATTTAACTAAGTATAATATTTTTATCAAAAAAACTAAGTATAATATTTTCGTCTAAAAAGATAATTATGGTACAGTACCGAGTCAAATCATTTTAAATTTAATCCAATTTATAAAAACATAAATATATATCATATCATATAATTATTATTACATTTTTATAGAATATAATTTTATAGTATGCTTGTTTGTGTGATAACTATAAATATTTATATTTTTTATATAAATTTGGTAAAACTGTACTAGACAGTTACACGACGAATATAACTACGGGCTACGGCTACGGGGCTCCTCTTTCTAGTTTTCGCTTTGGTTTGCGAAACATTTTCTTGCTACAGCAGTGAAACAATGTTACTACACAGTTCTGCCAGTTGCCAGGACTTGCCACAGTGTTTTGCCGAGAGGTCAGAGGAGCCTGAAGCTGTCTCGAGTATCAAACGGAGTCTAGAATTACATTCTGCAAGCTCAGGCCATGTTTAGTTTCACTTCATTTTACCAAATTTTTTAAGATTTTCATCACATCGAATCTTTGGACGCATGCATGAAGTATTAAATATAAATAAAAAATAAAACTAATTATACAGTTTAGACGAAATTCACGAGACGAATCTTTTAAGCCTAATTAAACTATGATTGACACTAATTACTAAATAACAACGAAAAACTGCTACCGTTGTATTTTGCAAAAAATTTCAGATCTAAACTGGCCCTCAGTAGGATGGAAGTAATTATATTATCTAAAATAGAAGTGCTCCCTATTGTGAACTGTTCGCTTGAACTTACGATAAATTTCAGCGAGCCAAACAGGACCGATGATTGTGACCGCGCGACCGAGCCCCGCGACACCCAGCGAGAGATGATCGTGGTCGCAAGTTCCAAGACGTGCCCATTGAAGACTGAGGTCTTGTTTAAATCTTTTTTATCACATCAGTGTCACGTGGGTAGATATTAATAAAAAAAAATTATAGAATTAGTTAATAATTTGTGAGATGAAATTATTAAACCTAATTAATCTACTATTAATACATGTATTAATATAGCACCACATTATTAAATTATAGACGGACAGGACTGAAAAATACTGTTTCGGCTGATTGTTGTGAGAGAAAAATACTATTCTGACAGAACGTGAACAGTGATTTTGTGAGGTGGCTGGCTAGCCAGCAACCAGCCAGCCAGCCAAACACGCCGTAGGCTTAAAAAAAATTATCTCACAAATTAGTTTCAAACTATACAATTAATTATTTTTAGTTTATATTTAATAATCTATGCATGTGGTAGCCTGGTGCTAGGTCAGTTGCTGCATGGGGAAAAATCGAAAAAGGCAGGGGAGGGGCCGAGCCGAGCGGAGCAAAAGCTCATGTTCTATCAATCTGTCCGTCAGTGTTGGAAGGCAGATTCACGCAGAGGGAGTAGGGAGGGAGCAGGTGGCGAGATGATGGGCGCGCGGCAGCTTTTTGATCGCAACAAGCAAACAATACAAACAAAACCCCGTATCGCTACTCCGTTATTTATCGCCCGGTGCGGTGAGAAAACACTCACCTGGTAAAAATTTACGATCGGACGAACAAGACCCAAAGCTACTCCGAGAGATCCGGCTACAGCAGACTGGTAAAGCGAGCAAGCGGAGAACTGGCTGGTAGCAGCAGCGCAGAACTCCCGCGCGCCACTGATAAGGGTGTGTCACTGTCGCGTCAAGATCGGTGGCGGCGATCGCCACATCACTCGTCACCCCTCGGTCTTACATCCTGCGGCATATCATACATAATGTGGTTTTAAATCCGCCAAAATAGGGCGGCCAAAAGTATTAGTTTAAAAAAAAAAAACAGTATTAGATTTAAAATTAGTTTAAAGAAGTGTTAAAAAAAAAAAAATCCTCATGACCGGGACCTCGAAGAAAGGGGAAAATGCCTTTCGTGCTTATCAGTAAGCTGTAGCTGTAGTGTAGACAGATGATACGTCCTGTAGTCCCTGTCTTGTCGAATGTCGACGGCAGCACCAATGCTGTTATGTGAATGAGTACCTGATTCTGCTCCAAGGAAAAGTGCGAGCGTATTCGCAATTTCTCATAGTGGAAGAACATGGCACGACATTGAGGAGCGTTCTCTGTTTTTGACAGCTAACAACTGAAGCACAAGGCTGTTCTTGGAGAAGGCCAAGCTTCTGCTCCTAGGCTCCTAGCTAATGAACTCTTTAACATATATAATCTACACGACCTGCAGCATAATCTCAGAGAGTAGTAGATAACAACCACTCATATATACAAACTAAACAGGCATTGCGATCCGTGCAGCCATTATTCCCACAGCGTCGATCCACCAACCGGTCCTGCACCATCTCCTTCCCCCAATACACAGCTCGATCAGTCTGTCAGTACTCAGCAGTGATCGAATCCGAACACAACAATGTCCTGGAGATCGAACGTGTCATCATAACTGAAGCGAGCCATGTCCGCGAGCTCACCGCCGTAGCAGTGCTGCTGCAGCTGCAGGACAGACGTCACGTCACCCTGGTCCGGCCCGCCGGGCGTCGTCGCCGCGGCGTTCCGCATCGCCTCCGCCGCCGGGGTGAGGCTGCTCAGCACCTCCTCCTGCTCGCCGCCGGCCTCCAGCTTCAGGGGTCCCGCCAGCAGCTTGGCGGCGTCCTTGTGCCCGGCCTGCTGGCTGGTGGTGTTCCCGGTGGTGGTGGTGCTGGTTGTGGTGGCCGCGCTGGCGTTGGCCGCGAAGCTGATGAGGCGGGACCCCGCGTGGCGGAGCTCGTCGGCGACACCGGCGTCGGCGTGCGCGATGGCCGTGGCGGGGTCCCGGCAGGTGTGCACGCCGATGTAGGTGACCGTGTAGGTGTCCGGGTCGTCGTCGCGGCGCTGCACCTGCCGCTGCGCCACGCACTGCTGGTCGTACTTGTGCGTGCACCGGAAGTAGGCCCTGCACCGACCGAGCATCATCGACAAAAAATTAGTAATTCACCCAAGAAAAAAGATCATCTGGTTGGCATATTTGGGTTGTACTAGCAGCACGGACTGAATGACTGAGTTGATTGATTAACAATGATTGATCGAAGGGCGGAAGCGTACTTTGGGTACTTGCAGTTTTGTATCTCCTTCTGTCCGTACTTGCGCCATGCGTGTCCGTCCTCCAAATCCTTGGTGTTCTTCGTCACAACCGATGATCCTTGCTGGCCTCTGCAACACACACACATACGCCGCAGAATTCAACATACATCCGGCAGTGGTTCCCTTAAATCAGCTATTTTTGGATCAAGAAGAAGTGGACTCGGCAAACTCACCTCTTCCGACAGGCGGCCCTCTTGTCCCCTCCGCCAGCGGCCTTCCTTTTGCCGCTGCCGGCAGTGCAGGTGACGTCGCTCTGCACCTCGGACGCCTCCTCCTCGGCGGCGGCGGCCGCGGCCTTGGCCGTGTCGATGGTGCGGGACATGGCGTGGAGGATCCGGTCCAGGAGGCGGCCGGCGTCGGGCGAGTCCCGGAGCAGCGCCTGCAGCTGCGTCGCGTACTCCCGGCCCTTCACCATGTCCTCCATCACCCGCGCGTACGGCGCCGCCGCTACCGCTGCCGCTGCCGCCATGGCCAAGCCGCAGCAAGAGGGAAGAAGAAGAAGATCACGACCACCACAGGGACGGGACACAGCTCACTCAGTGACTCACTCGCGCGCGCACTCCGATCCGTGGGCAGCAAGGGCGGCAGCAACCAGCAAGGAAACAAGAAAACCCTTCGAGGGTCGAGGCAGGTACCGGCATTTATGGTACCGGCATTTATGGATGCAGACGGTCAGAGCCCGCCGCGCGAGTGAAATTTAAGCTTTCGGTGGATGGCGTCCAAATAAAAGGAGGAAGCTTGGTTTCTATTCGACATCTTCTCCGACAACCAAACTCAAAAAAAAATTCTTTTTACAAATAGATTTGTAAGAGAGAGGATGTCTATATTTAGATTATGCCTCTCAAATAACTTAAAATAAATCATAATGTGTTGAAACCTGATTTTAAGTCTCCGGTCCCGGTTCATTCGTTGGAGACCGCCGGGTGGGCATGTGCCGCGCCAGCATCCAGCCTGCTGGCTCGGCGAGGGGGGAAGCATCCTGGAAGGAGAGTGGGCACGGGGACGACGACACGCAGGTGACGTCTCGGACGCGACGTCACCATGGTGATGCTCGACTGCGTGCGCGGATCGATGGAGCGCAAATGCAATGCAATTGGGTCGGGGCTTGGGAGGGCCCTACTCCACTTGTTTGTCCGGATACCGTCCAATCGTGTGTGCGTACAGGGTCTCCTATTCGTGTAGGGAGGCATGCCAGCGCACTACCCTATTCTCTCCCCTTGGGTCCCGGGACCGGCGTCCTTCACTCCAGCAGCGCCGATTCCGGCACCACCGTCCTTGGTGGCGGACGTGGCATCCGGCGGCGGGAAAGCTTGTTGATGATGGCGACCGTACCTGTGGCTCGATCTCTCCTCCGACCGCGGGGAACGAAGGTTGCTGAAACCTTCATTCACCATGGGAAGGCCAAGGTAACTGTACCACTTATCACGATTTGGGGGTCTAGTCCAACACGCCCGAGATGCCCAATCGACGGCGCCTCCATTTGTGCAGCTTCAGGAGATTGAGATAGCTAGGTTGGGTCTCTAGCTAGGTTGGGTCTCAATAATAATTGCATCTTTAGATGTACCACTTTGTAGAAACCACTTTCATGATGAAACGATGTTGAGCCTTTGCAGGTGAAGATGGATAGTGCTGCTTTGGTAGCTGATAAAAATAGCACCAAGAGTTTTGAGTCTTTTAGGCAATGCATTACGTTGTTTTGTTGGACCACACATGATGTTTGTAGAATATAGTGTCATGTTCGCTTGGCTGATAAGTTATGACTGAAAGTACTGTTAGTTGATTTATTGTGAGAGAAAAATAATGTTTGTTGGTTAAAAAGTACAACTTATAAACCAAACGAATATGACGAAGAAAGTTTGTAAAAAAATCAGTTATGTTGAACATGTCCACAGTCCATGGATCTGGTGCGGCTAACATGGCCACCGAACAAATCAAGGCTGCTGCAGAGGAGGTGGTGAGTGGAATTGTTGCAAGCCCTGTCAGCAAAGAAGGGCAGTCTAGCATAGGAGCAGAGCACCCATGAGAGATCTTGGGAAAAATTCTTCTCCAGAAATTCAGAAAGGTCCGTACTAGCAGCTGAGAGATTGCTGAGACAAGGCTAATAATAGAGCCGGCTGCTGACCGTAAGGCTTCTTTGTAGCCTTTTTTCAACCTACTCATAGCTCATCACTATTAATATATGATCCACTTGTCTCTCTCATAAATTTTCTTGGTTCTTGTGTCTAAACCAGCTTTAAGCTTACAGTCCGCTTCTATTCTCTCTCCTCTCATATCTTCTCCACCTCAGCATTTAGCCAGCTTTGCAGCCTGCTATTATACTTGCTCTTAACATGTAGCACACTCGTCCATTAACACTTGTGCTAGGTATAGATGGCCAACGGGCTGGCCCGGCACGGGCCTGTGCCAGGCACGGCCCGGAGGAGGTCGGGCCGACATGGCACGTCGGGCCGTGGCGAGGTCGTGCTGCGTGCCTAGCCGCCGGCCCAGGCACGCCCCTCGAGGTGATTTTCGGCCAGGCTGGCCCGATAAGCACGGCGTCTCCAGCAACTTGGGCCAGCTCGAGGCCCGCGTCAGAAAGAAGGGAGGGAGGATCTAAGGCGTGGGGCAGCGCTGCCGTCGCGTCGCGGAGGAGTCGAGGCGTGGGGGAGCGCCGCCGCCGCGTCGCAAGGGAGTGGGAGGGAGCTGTCGAGGCCTCGGCGCCTCGTCGTCTTGGCCAAGCGTTGCCGCTTCGATGCGCCGCCGCCCGTGCGAAGGAGCACCGCCACCATCCATGGGGCAGGGAGCATGAAGAAGGGAGCGAGGAGTGGAACCACGGAGCCCTTGACCTCGGAGGAGCCGAGGCGGAGGCGCGGAGCAGAGCGAGGAGCCACCTGCGCGAAGGAGCTTGGGGAGTCAGGGGTGGAGTTCGGGGCACCGATCATGCAAGAGAAGGGAAGGAGTCGCGACCTCGTGGGCAGTGGGTGCGCGACTCACGAGTCACGACTCGCGTTCGCGAGTGCGGCGTGGGGAGGGAAGATTGGGAGAGTGCGGCGCGGGGGGTGGGGAGGGAAGGGAATGAATTTTAGGGTATTAGGTGGGATTGGGGTGCAGGGGCTTTTACCAGACCGCCCAAGTCATCATCGGGCCGCATCGGGGCTACTAGTATATGTCGGGCCGTGCCGTGCCAGCCCGCATGCCTAGGGTGCGGCCCAGGCACGGCCCTGTGCATCGGGCCATGCTGTGCTTAGGCCGGGGCCAAAAAACCGTGCTTCGGGCCGTGCCGTCGGGCTGCGGGGTGCATGGACATATATACTGCTCGGCAACGATGTCTTATGCTGGATTTTAACTTTTTGTATGCATTCTTATTTTTTTGTTATATATATTTGGATTTTAACATTTTGTACGCTCGTTCATCTAGCTGGCAAGCTTGCATGGATTGGAGCGATGGTTCAAGTGATTCTAACTTGGAATGTACAGATGACACAAACCACTTCGCTTGGGTAATGTGCATTGGGTACAGATGACACAAGCCACTTCGTTCAAAAAAGGAAGTAAAAAAATGACCGGTCATATAGAAAAGACTGGTAATGTGCATTGGGTAAACTGCAGATGCTAAGGATGATAGGACTTTGCTTGAGGATCCAAGTGACGAAATCAGCAATGTTTTCATTTATCAGGCTTGGCTAATTGAGTACCTGAAGGCTGAAGAAGTGCAAAGGTAATGTGCTACTGCAAAAGGAGGAACTGCATATCTGCTTGATGTAAAAAAAGAGGAAGGCGGGTGCGGTGGCAACAGCAATGCTCATAAGATGTCGTGAAGGTTTGGGTTGAAGTCTAGTCTAGGCTTCTAGCAAATGTATCTTGGTGTTTCAGCTAATGTATTTTGCATGTACAGAGTAACTGATGCCTTACCCATGATTACAGACTAGTTTTGATGATTTGATTTACGAAACAACTTGGCCCTGCATAAGCTAAGCCTGGCTGGCGAGAGCCTACATGGTAGATTAGATACGAGCCACGCTGGGCTGGGCTGGGCTGGGCTTACAAGGAAACCAAACGCGCCCAGATCCTGTATTATGGGCTGTATCGGGGCGCCGCGAGTGGCAAACCAGATCAACAGCAGATCATTTTTCTCAATCTCCTCAAAAAAAAAAAAATCATTTTTCTCAAAAAAAGAAAAAGAAAAAGAAAAAAGAGAGAGAAAGATCAGCAGCAGATCACACAGCTCATATGGTTTGGACTTCGCCGCCGCCATTACCAACACACCAGTGCCGGGTGCCCGATATGGCCCTCTATGCAGCGCCCACCGCCCAGGATGGCCGCCTGCTGAACCAAGGTAAGATCCGGTGGGATCGATCCCCGTTCCCAGCCAGATGGCCTGGGAGGGTGAAGCTTCCCGGTGCCGTGCTGTGCCTGTGCGTGCTCGGCGCCGTCTACCTCAGGTAAGCGAAAGCGACGACCCGATGCATATGCATATACAAATACAAGTCGGTCTACGTATAGGCAGCATTCATTAGACGATCGATCTTGAATAGCCAAGTGTCAGTACTCCGTAGAACGGATTTAGCTCTGTGTGGCTCTCGCTGTCTCACACATCAGGAACAGATGATGCAGTAGGTCAGTCAGTCAACCCCATTTACCCGAGTGAGGGGGCGGCGGAGACCATCAAGTTGACTGACGATGATATTTTGATTATTTAGTTAGGTATAAAATAGAAGTTGCATGGTTAGATTTGACATCAAAGGTATTTTAAGAATATTGTATTTTAGAATTCAATGTGTTACAAGGTACATGTTTTTTTTTTGAGGAATTACAAGGTACATGTTATTAGAACAGCAGAGCAACAATAAGAATTGACAGCCATAGCGCGTACCGCACTCAATTCTCTTTCAAGCGCCCTGAAGAACAAAACCCAAGGAAGCCATTGCTGAGCAAACCAACTGACAATGTTACCCAAAACCTGGAGAGAATAAAGTATCCTCTTTTTTTCTTCCCTTGCTCCAGCCGGTGAAGATCAGTAGGAGCCGCGGGAAGAAAAGAGGCGAAGCTAGCAGCAACGCTCTCACAAGTCACACATGGGCGAGCACACCCAGCACTCAAAATCCTAGAGAGGAGGAAAAAAAGATCTCGTCTTTTTCTTCCTTTCCCTGCTACTCGAGCTGGTGGAGGTCGGCTGGGATTGAGGAGGAGGGAAAGAGGCGAGGCGGTTAATCGAGCGGGAAGCCAACAACTGGGGGGATGGCCATGGTGGAGAGTAGGTATGGTCCCTGTGCCAGCCATGGCTTCTTCCTCCTACGGCTGCTGCTGCCGTTCTTGTTCTTCTTCTCCTTTATTGATGTGCCACCGGCCGCCGCCGCCACCACCACCACCATGCAATCGCCTCCACTGACCGACACGCAAAAGTCCATCATGAATGATATTGCGAGTCTGGTGAACTCTGAATCCGCTTCCGCCAACACCAGGTGGAACGCTGCAGACAATCCATGCAAGTGGACAGGAATCAGTTGCAGAAATTCCAGTTCTTTCTCGGCCGTCACTAGCATCAGCTTGTCAAACTATGGCCTATCCGACTCCTCCATCTTTGCCCACCTTTGCCGGCTTGGCACCTTGCAGTCCCTTGACCTCTCCCGAAATTCCTTCACAAATTTGTCCGCCCAGTTCTTCGCCAATTCTTCTTGCTCCATGAAAGAAGGGTTGCAGTCACTTAATCTGAACACCAATCAGTTGGCTAATTCGCTCAGTGATTTATCCCACTTCCCCCAGCTGGAAGTTCTTGACTTGTCCTTCAATTCCTTTGCCAGCAGAAATCTGAGTGCAGACTTGGGTTATTTTCCCAAATTAAGGAGCTTCAACGCTAGTACCAATAAGTTGAGTGGTGATGTTCCTACCAGTATGGTCGGCTCTTTGCTGGAGTTGGTATTGTCTGGTAATCAACTGAGTGGTTCAATCCCTCTGGGTTTGTTTAGATATGAAAATCTTACTCTGCTAGATCTCAGCCAGAATTATCTAACTGGTCCTGTCCCAGATGAGTTCATGAGTCTCCCCAAGCTCGAGACTTTGCTTCTTTCAGGCAATAAACTGATCGGGGAAATACCAGCGAGCCTCTCAAATGTGACAACGCTGTCTAGGTTTGCAGCCAACCAGAACTATTTGACTGGTCCAATAGCCAGCTGGATTACCAAGCACGTTTGTAATACCTTGAGCATGACTTCTCTTGAGTTGGATGGTAATCAGTTAATAGGAAATATACCTCCAGAGCTTGGCGGATGCAAGAGCTTATCGTTGTTGAATCTGGCATCAAATAATTTGAATGGTTCAGTGCCTGATTCCATAGGGAAGCTTGACAAACTGGTAGTGCTGAAGCTTCAAAAAAACAACCTCAGTGGTCCAATTCCAAGTACATTTTCTGATTTGAAAATCCTGAGCACATTGAATCTTAGTGAGAATTCACTCAGTGGAGAGATACCGAGTGGAATTTTCGAGCTACCAAAGCTTTCGAACTTGTATTTGCAGGGTAACAATATCAGCGGACCTATTCCGATCTCAATCAGTTCATCGAAGTATCTAATCGAGCTCAATCTGGGTGATAATGCTCTGACTGGTACCATCCCAACCATGCCAACAACTGTGACTACATCTCTTCTTAATCTTAGTCATAACCATCTTAACGGGCACATTCCTTCAAACATCTACTCTTTAAGTGAATTGGAGATTCTTGATCTTTCACACAACTACCTGTCTGGTGATGTGCCATCTTCACTAGGGAGCCTGCAAAGCCTGACACTGCTGGAGCTTTCTTATAATAATCTGTCTGGGCCTGTTCCTAGATTCCGCCCAAATCAAAATTTGGATATTGATGTTGTCGGAAATCCTGGTCTTGTAAATGGTACAGAAAACAATAATGGTAAGAAAAAAAGGCACTATTTCGTCATCATCATCTTCACTATTGCCGGTGCTCTTGTTGGATTATGTGTGCATGCTGTTATTATTATGATCTTATCAAAGAGAATATATCGTGTTGAAGAAAGGATACCTGCTGGGGAGGGTGTCGCTCAAATCATTAATGGCAGCTTCATAACAATGAACTGCTTCCGCACCTCTGTGATTATGTTCATGAAAGAAAAGCAGGATGAATGGAGAATTACAGCTTTCCAGACTCTGAACTTCGAGGCTGCAGACATACTCCAGGGACTAAATGAAGAGAACCTTGTTGGCAGCGGTGGTTCAGGGCAGGTTTACCGCGTCACATACACCAACCGGTACAACAGGAGCATCGGGGTGGTGGCCGTGAAGCAGATACGAAGCTTTGGGTCGCTGGACGAGTTGATGGAGCATGAGTTTGAGTCCGAGGCTAGCATCCTGTGCAACATCCGGCACAACAACATTGTCAAGCTGCTGTGCTGCTTTTCTGGCACGGACTCTAAGCTCCTCGTGTATGATTACATGGACAACGGCAGCCTGGACAGATGGCTCCATGGCAATTACGTCCTCCGTGCAGGGCACCCTATGGCGAGGGTGCGGCCTGTGCAGCGTGTGCCGTTGGACTGGCCAACGAGGCTCATAGTGGCTGTCGGGGCAGCGCAGGGGCTGTGCTACATGCACCACCATTGCTCGCCTCCCATCATTCACCGGGACGTCAAGACGAGCAATATCCTGCTGGACTCGGAGTTCCGGGCTAAGGTTGCGGACTTCGGGCTGGCTAGGATGCTGATGCAAGCAGGGGAACCCAACACGATGACCTGGGTAGTTGGATCATTCGGCTACATGGCTCCTGGTAAGGATCTACTTTTGGTCATTTCAATGGAGTTCACTAATTTTGTCGGATTGTGTACAGTAGTGACTAAGATGGTAACTACTGTAGTCAATAACATAGGTTGAAGCCTTGTGAGGCCTAATTTTATAGTTTTTGTTGCTGAATATGTGCAGAGTATGCTTACACGAGGAAGGTGAATGAGAAAGTGGATGTTTTCGGCTTTGGTGTTGTGCTCTTGGAGCTCACAACTGACAAGAATGCCAACGATGGTGGCGATCACGGTTCCCTGGCAGAATGGGCAGGGCATCACTCCCGATCAGGGGCGAGTATCCCTGATGCTACAGACATCTGCATCAGATATGCAGGGTATGCTGACGAGATTGAGACCGTGTTCAGGCTAGGCGTGAAATGCACGGCTAACTCACCGTCCTCACGACCTACTATGGAGGATGTGCTGCAGATTTTACTCAAATGCAGCGAGCAGACGCTCAGGAAAAGCAGACTGGAGTGTACTCCGTAGCACGGAGTAGAAGCAGTTCCGTTCTTGCTGGCACAGCGAGTCAGTCGTGTGGAACAGCTTTCCAACGACAAGCAATTGCCATCAAACAGAAGAGTGACTTTTATTGCATTGTCTGAACTCTGAAGAACTAACATCTACGTATTATCTTGGTATTTTTGTTCAACAAAAGAAGACTACATTAATTCTCAGGAATGAAGTAAAAGTTCCCTCTACGTGCTGACAAACTTCTTATCACAGTTTTTCCTTTCTTTCTTTGTATCTTGATTGCTTTCCCCCTTCTAGTTACCTGCTTGTTTCTTATACTTGTACTGTTCTGTACTCCTTTTTGTCAATAAAATCATAGTAGGGGCGTGCCCCTCCTGTTCCCCGTCAAAAAAAAACTTCCTATCACCACTATTATGTAAAAGTGAACCCACAAATACTCTTTATACCTGTTTCCATTTTACCTACGCATGCCATTATTGAGGGATTACCTGCCACTGCTGTTGCAAAATTTAATCCAAAATACGCTTATATTTACCTGCCACTGCTATTGCAAAAGTTAATCCAAAATACGCTTAGGACCCGTTTGGATCCTTAGAATTGAATTTATTTTAATAATCACAGTCTATTAAGTGATGGGTCACGCGCGTGGGGAGCGCGCGACCCGTCATCCTTGCCGTGCCCGCCCTCACCTTGCGCCGCGCTCACCTCCTCCGCTGGCCCACCTCGCGCACGCGCCCACTCCCACTAGCACCCCCACCTGTGCCGGCGAGTTCTTCCCTCCCTCCCCTCCGGCGGGGAGGTAGGCTTCCTCCTCCTTCTCCTTCGGGGTCTGTGAGCACTAGAGATGAAGACGACGACAGCGGTGGCTAGGGTTCTGGCGACGAGGAGGTCGCCGGAGAGGGAGAAGAAGCCAAATCCTACGGGCTATAGAAGGGCCCAGCCGGCCGGGGGGAGAGAGGCAGGCCAGGCGGTGGGAAAGGAGGACGGGCGGTTTAGATGGCCTGGCGGTGGTAGCGGTGGCCGGGCCAGGGAGGGGCGGGGGTGCCATGGCCGGAGCTCGGAGCTCGGCGTTGTCCGCGAGCATGGCCATGGTGGAGCTCCAGCTTGAGGGGGGAGGGGAAGAAGGCGGCAGCCGCGGGCGCTAGGGTTCGCTAGCGTAGCGGGGCGGTGACCGGCGGCGAGGGTGAGGACGAGCAAGAACGGCGGCGGGGTCGGGGTCGAGGATGAGGCACAGAGGGTGGGTCGCGGGGTCAGTGTCAAGGACGAGGCGTGGAGGGAGGTCAGGGCGGGAGGTTGAAGATGGGTCACGCGATAACTGTGTCCTTTAATAATCATAATTTAGACACATATGAATTAAGCTAATATGGTCGTATATGGATTATATTTGTATATTATAATTGGCTATACAAAAGAGATACTTATGTGTTGCATTTTTACTGTAGGGGAGCGAGTTGAAGAGCGTGTTATATGTTGCAAAGTAGACATATAGAATGGTGATCTATAGAATCAATTTCCATTTCCCACCCTATGAATTTGAGATAGACTTATATGTGAACTTTGAAAAGTGGTAGAATGTCAAATTCCAAGCCAAATAGCCTAATTTATAAGTAGATTTCAATTTCTCCAAATTAAAGGATCCAAACGGCCTCTTATAGAATTACCCGCCACTGTTGTTACAAAAGTTAGTCCTCAATACGCTTATATCCATTTCTCTATTTGGTACCCATATCATTGTGTCAAGGAAAACAAAGCCAACTGTCTTCCTCATGCATTTAAGAGATGAAAGTTGACTTCAAGCAAGAAAAATTCATACTTGCAATTCTAATTATTCTTTAGTCAACTACAGTACAAAATGGACCATAATTCAATATTAGAGTTTAAAAGATAAATGTAGAAAAAAAGCTTCTTAATGTTGGTTAAGTGATTGAATCTTCCCCTTGGAATAAAAGGATATCCAAAGCTGTGATTCAAATTAACTTTTGATGTCAAATAATATATAAAAAGGAACATAGCTCAATATGACAGTTTGAAATGTAAACATAGGAAAAATAATAAAATATATGACCTGAAAGATTTAACGATCTATTCATATTGAGAATAATTACAAGCGTCCTTAGTAAAAAAAAAGCAATGTAACTATTTATCTCTTTCCTTGTGTACATGGGTTGCCATTTTGATGCCCACTCCAGAACAACGAGAAAGGATGCTTAGTGCAGTATGAAATTATATATCCAATGGTGATAACTAGGACAAACGCAATAAAAAAGAGAAGCAAATAGATCCATACCACTACCAACATTGTCTGAACTCTGAAGAACTTTCATCTACGTATTATCTTGGTATTTTTGTTCAACAAAAAGAAGACTACATTAATTCTAAAAATTACCATGGTCATCAGAGAATGAAGTAAAAATTCCCTCAACATGTTAACAAACTTCCTACTGCTACTGTTACGTAAAAATGAACACAGAAATAGTCTTTATACCTGTTTCCATATTAGCTATGCATGCCATTATTGAGGGGTTAACCTGCCACTGCTGTTGCAAAAGTTTTTGATCCAAAATATGCTTATATAATTACCTGCCACAGCTGTTGCCAAAGGTAATCCAAGAGTAAAATTCACCACCGGTCATTGAAGTTGTCTAGAGGTATCATCTAGGCACCCAAAGTTTTAAAATACATTTTTTACTCTTTGAAGTTGTAACAGGTCTCAACTAGGTCCCCACGGTTGTTTAGAACCCGTTGTCTCACGTGGAATGCATATGACAGATGGACCCACATGTCAGCGGGAATGCTCCAAATCATATTTTTTTCATATGACCTCAGCTGAAGATGATTTTTATATGAAAATTATAGCTCTCAATGAGATCTACAACTTTGCAGTTTTGAGTTTCTTTTCATTTGAGATCTCAAATGACAAAACTCAAAACTAGGAACTTGTAGATCAAATCGATCGCTATAATTTTCGTATACAAAGTATGTTTATCCAACACCTTACAAGAAATATATGATTTTTCTAAGACGACAAGCCCTAATACGCGAGTAATATACTGTTGAAACTTTATATTTTTGTTTTGGGCATCTTAACAATCTCAAATGAAAACAAACTCAAAACTAGAAATTTGTAGATCTTATCAAAAGCTACAATTTTGATATAAAGATCATCTTCATTCCAGGTCGTATAAAAAGATACGATTGTTCTATGGTGTAGCTTTGTTGTTGATATGTAGGTCTCATTTGTTAGATCCATGTCATGTAGGATCACGGGTCGGGTCAACGCTTATTGGGACCTAGATGAGACCCATTACAACTTCTGAGAGGCAAAAACGCATTTTGAAACTTTAAGGACCTAGATACACCTTTAGATAACTTTGAGGACCATCAGTAAATTTTACTCTCTGCTAATATCCATTCCTCTATTTGGTACCAATATCATTGACAAAGAAAATAAAGCCAACTGTCTTCTTCATGCATTTAAGAGATGAAAGTTGACTTCAAGCAAGAAAGAGATTCTAAATGTTGGTTAAGTGATTGAATCTTCTCTTGAAATAAAAAGGATATTCAAAGCTGCGATTCAAATTACCTTTTGATGTCAAACAAAATATAAAAAGGTGATGGATCCTCATTAAAATTACTAGAGACACCAATTCTGGATCCTCATTAAATCCACCACTTCACCCGATTCAGCAAATAGCTTGGGGTGATGGATCCAAATCTTTAGTTGGTCATCGGCGAACTCAAGCCTCAAGGGCATTCGCGGTGACTTCTTCGACCTCTAGCAAAACGTCTTTGGTCCTTTGAGAATCTTATGTACGGTACTAGGGAATTGTTTTTCGCTCTATTTAAAATGAGTAGCATGGAATCAGAGCAGAGTGAAGCCTTCCGAAAACTAGCGTCCCTGCCACTATAGGAACAAACCTCTAGTCACGCTTTTATAATAACGCACACTAAAGTCGTCTCTACATGGTCATGCAATAATTTTTTTGACATGATTTCGTGAACGTGTCAGCATGACACAACAATAGTCACACTTTTAGTGTCAAAAGGCATATGGAGAAACTTGTTTACACGATATTGAAAACGTCTCAAACTAACACGGTGTCAGACACACTTTTATTCGTCAATAGCTTCTAGACACGTTACAAAGCGTATCAGAGAGCGCTCCATAGCCAATTAAAGATGTTTTTTTGATGCAATACTGAAGTCGTCTCAGAATAACACGAAGTTAGACATGGTTTAAAACGTCCTTATATTTTATACACGTGGAAAGCGTATCAATAGTCATACATATATAGTCACGTCAACATACTTCTTGATACGATATTGAAAACATCTCAAAGCTAAGCATTTGTACTTATCACAAAGTTATATTACCATAGAAATTTATTTATTTTTTGAAATTTTAAAATAACTTTTATGATGTGTGCCAGAGCTCGATGTTAAGAATAATGGTTCTACAGCTAAACCTAAGACTAGCAAAAGTGTTGCATTATTTTTCATTGATACCTAGGATCCAACGTTATTTGCAACTAGCAAAAACTTCATAAGACGTGATGGCATGATTGACGGCTGTACAAGAGATGGAAAACTACGACATCCAGCAGATGATAAGGTTGAGAACACTACAAGAAATATGGGATTTAGCATGGAAACCACTAGGCTACAATCTCGTTGCTGTTTATTATTGTAACTTTTACATGCAAACTACCGATGCACGGTCACTGGAGAACGCCGCACGGTAGACCCGTCATGATCCTGCCATCGCCATGCCTTGAGTCTAAAAATCTGGAAAAAAAGCAAAAAAAAAAAAAAAAAAAAACTTCAAGAGTACTCGAACTCACTACCTAATGCCCAAGACAATAGAGAGTCGAGATAAAAATAAAGAAAAAAATAATAGAGAGTTACCTCAGCCACAAAGTAATCTTTTAAAATTCGAAGCACTTTATGTTATCATCAGGTTAAATATTCCTCAAGCACAACTTTCTCGGCTCGAGTCTAGTCTAAAATATTTATTT